TGGCATACATGATACTTAAGCAGCACCAACCCAACAACACAGGAGTCACATGATTTCATCGTCTACTGGTCCTCATCATAGGCAGAGGTTGTTTTGATAAGGACCTGCCTCGCATGGGCCAGTAGGCCTTCTACAGTGTTCCTCCATTCTTATGTTCTTATGACATTCCTCAGGTCACGTGCGTCACATCTCACTCTCCGCCTATATATATAATGTCTTTCTACCTCTGTATGTTAGAAGTGATCAAGGTCCCAGGACCGAAACGTTTTCTAATAAATATGTTATAGTGTTTGCTTACGTGTCTTTCTAAACCACACTCAAGTATGTACGAGTATATGTAAGAATGTATAATCAAGATACTTGAGGTTTACATAGCCAAGCTACTCGCCCAGTTAAAATCATGGCTAATTAATGTATCCACGTACCCACAAGCCATATTTTTCTGGTCTTAACGTAACTTTTAGTTCAATATCTATTATACACCACATACCCATCCTGTGGGCGGTAGTCAAAAGATTACAGAGGTACATAATGGGTCCAGGGACTGTACCACGAAATTTTGATAGCTGAACTAGTTACAAAGGTAATGAACTAGATCTGGTCACAGTCATGACCAAGTTACAAAGGTAATGAATCATAAACACGTCTATACATTGTTACATTGGCTTATTGAGCACATTACAGAGTAATGAGTAGTTAACAGATATTGTAGGGAATTCATCCCTTGTCCCAACAACAGCAGCATACATAAGGGGGATTACCAATAGACCCCTGACTGTCTTCAAGAAGGCACTGGACAAGCACCTAAAGTCAGTACCTGACCAACCGGGCTGTGGTTCGTTTGTTGGATTGCGTACAGCCAGCAGTAACAGCCTGGTTGATCAGGCCCTGATCCACCATGAGGCCTGGTCACAGACCGGGCCGCGGGGGCGTTGACCCCCGGAACTCTCCCCAGGTAAACGTGTTGCTGGGTGCCTGTCCCTCCTCGGCAGGACAGCCAGACAGACACTTCAAACAGCAGCACCAGAATCTGCTGTTTGCAGGAGCACCATCAACCCTCCCTAAGAGGTCCAAGAGGTCAGCGACTCTGCTAGCAGCCCGAGGGAGAGCCGTTAGTTAGTTTAATATGTTTATTATGCACCCCATACCCATCCTGTGGGCGGTAGTCAAAAGATTACAGAGGTACATAATTGGTCCAGGGACTGGACTCCAAAGTTTTGATAGCTGAGCAAGTTACAGAGGTAATGAACTCACAATTTACAAAGGTAATGAACTCACAATTTACAAAGGTAATGAACTCACAATTTACAAAGGTAATGAACTCCAGGTAAGTCTGGTCACAATCATGACAAGTTACAAAGGTATTTGCGCCGCCCTGGGGATGTGTCGACGTCCTGGTGGACGCCAAGTTGATGGCAGATCCCAGGCTCTCTGTAAAGCTGAAGGTGCAGTAGCTGTCACCTATGTCTGCTGGGAGGGGCTGTTGGTTGCTCCCACCTGGAGCCCTCCAGGTGCCCAGACACCCACCGTGTGCACGATGTTGAAGCTTGAGGAACTGAGTGCACACTGCCTGTGGCACTCCTGACACCTGCCTCACCGTCGAACTCCACGACGCTGTCCCTGCAGTGCCATCGTTGACGTGACCTGGGAAGGGAAAATGGATCTGTGCTCCAGTTCCCCGAATTAAGCCTGAATGCCTTCCACATCCCCACCCCCCAGGCGCTGTATAACCCTACGGGTTTAGCGCTTCCCCTTGATTATAATAATAATGGGAAGGGAAAAGTACACTCTACAGTTGGGGTGGCACTGGGAGTTGGGTAGGAGGTAACCAAACTGACCCAAGGACATACACATATACCCCTAAGTGTATACAATATGAGTGTATAATGAGGCTAGTTAATTTTTCACATCTAAGACTCACTCATCCACTTAGTATCAAGGGTAACTAATGAATCCATGTACCCACAAAGGACCCCAATGGAAATAAGTCACTCTGTCTGACTTTTTTGGGTTATCCTAGGTTCTCTACACATATGCTGCTATGTATGATAATTCTATGTAACTGTATTTGTGTATACCTGAATAAACTTACTTACTTACTTACTTACACAAACCATATTATTTATCTGGAAACAAGTCAAAGATTCCAGTGGAAATATGTCAAGGGCCCAAATGGAAATGTCAAGGGCCCCAATGGAAATGTCAAGGGCCCCAATGGAAATGTCAAGGGCCCCAATGGAAATGTCAAGGGCCCCAATGGAAATGTCAAGGGCCCCAATGGAAATGTCAAGGGCCCCAATGGAAATGTCAAGGGCCTAAGTGGAAATGTCAAGGGCCCCAATGGAAATGTCAAGGGCTCCAATGGAAATGTCAAGGGCTCCAATGGAAATGTCAAGGGCCCCAATGGAAATAAGCAATCACAGTACTAGGGGGAGAGAACACAACTTTGTAGCACACACAGTCAGTGGCCAGGCTTCAAACACCTTTTATTGTACAGCAATAAAGGAATGGAACAGACTTCCTGTACATGTCAAAGCCAGTCACAGCATAAGCCAGGTCAAGAAGAGAGCCAAAAGGTATATAATGACTGTAGCGACAGAAAGAGAAGAGAATGATTTTTTTATTTTTTTAGCTAACACTCGTGTAAATATAAATAACACAGTTTACCTTATTCCTAGTATATCTCCTTTATAGTATAATAATAATAATGTTTTAAAAGGACCCCAATAAGCCAAGGAATCCAATAAGCCAAGGACCCCAATAAGCCAAGGACTTCAATAAGCCAAGGACCCCAATAAGCCAAGGACTTCAATAAGCCAAGGACTTCAATAAGCCAAGGATCCCAATAAGCCAAGGACCCCAATAAGCCAAGGACTTCAATAAGCCAAGGACTTCAATAAGCCAAGGACCCCAATAAGCCAAGGACTTCAATAAGCCAAGGACTTCAATAAGCCAAGGACCCCAATAAGCCAAGGACCCCAATAAGCCAAGGACTTCAATAAGCCAAGGACTTCAATAAGCCAAGGACCCCAATAAGCCAAGGAATCCAATATGCCAAGGACCCCAATAAGCCAAGGACCCCAATAAGCCAAGGACCCCAATAAGCCAAGGACCCCAATAAGCCAAGGACCCCAATAAGCCAAGGACCCCAATAAGCCAAGGACCCCAATAAGCCAAGGACTTCAATAAGCCATGGACTTCAATAAGCCAAGGACCCCAATAAGCCAAGGAATCCAATAAGCCAAGGACCCCAATAAGCCAAGGACTTCAATAAGCCAAGGACCCCAATAAGCCAAGGAATCCAATAAGCCAAGGACCCCAATAAGCCAAGGACACCAATAAGCCAAGGACCCCAATAAGCCAAGGACCCCAATAAGCCAAGGACCCCAATAAGCCAAGGACCCCAATAAGCCAAGGACCCCAATAAGCCAAGGACCCCAATAAGCCAAAGACTTCAATAAGCCAAGGACCCCAATAAGCCAAGGACCCCAATAAGCCAAGGACCCCAATAAGCCAAGGACCCCAATAAGCCAAGAACTTCAATAAGCCAAGAACTTCAATAAGCCAAGGACCCCAATAAGCCAAGGACCCCAATAAGCCAAGGACCCCAATAAGCCAAGGACCCCAATAAGCCAAGGACCCCAATAAGCCAAGGACCCCAATAAGCCAAGGACCCCCTATGAGAGAGAAAGAGAAAGTCGCTCTCTCTCTCTCTCTCTCTCTCTCAATAAGCCAAGGACCCCAATTGAGAGAGAGAAAGAGAAAGTCACTCTCTCGATAAGCCAAGGACCCCAAATGAGAGAGAGGTCACTCTCTCTCTCTCTCAATAAGCCAAGGATCCCAATTGAGAGAGAGAGAAAGAAAGAAAGAGAAAGTCACTCTCTCTCTCAATAAGCCAAAGACCCCAATAAGCCAAAGACCCCAATAAGCCAAGGACCCCAATAAGCCAAGAACCCCAATAAGCCAAGGACCCCCAAATGAGAGAGAGAGAAAGAGAAAGTCACTCTCTCTTTGACTTTTCAGAATCATCCTAATTAATTTATACATATGTTAAGCCATGTATGACAATTATACTTGTGTACCTGTCCCAAAATAAGCTTAGTACATGTATATCTCCCCTGAGTCTACCCTGGGGGAGGGGTAGACTCAGGGACATACCCAGGTATACTAGTGACCTTTGTAATCAATATTACGTAATATATCACCTACACATTGTAACCTTTATGAGGAAATACACATATTTTGGGGGGCGTGAGATGGCAGCAGCAGCTGGAAATAACAGCAGCTGGTAATAACAGCAGCTGGTAATAACAGCAGCTGGTAATAACAGCAGCAGCTGGTAACAGCAGCAGCTGGTAATAGCAGCAGCTGGTAATAACAGCAGCTGGTAATAGCAGCAGCTGGTAATAGCAGCAGCTGGTAATAACAGCAGCTGGTAACAGCAGCAGCTGGTAATAACAGCAGCAGCTGGTAGCAGCAGCAGGAAGCTGGCAGCAGCAGCTGGTAGCAGCAGCAGCAGCAGCAGGCAGCTGGTAGCAGCAGCAGCAGCAGGCAGCTGGCAGCAGCAGCTGGTAGCAGCAGCAGCAGCAGGCAGCTGGTAGCACCAGCAGCAGCAGCTGGTAACAGCAGCTGGTAGCAGAAGCAGCTGGTAGCAGCAGCAGCAGCAGGCAGCTGGCAGCAGCAGCTGGCAGCAGCAGCTGGTAGCAGCAGCTGGTAGCAGCAGCTGGCAGCAGCAGCAGGCAGCTGGCAGTAGCAGCTGGTAGCAGCAGCTGGTAGCAGCAGCAGCAGCAGCAGCAGCTGGCAGCAGCAGCAGCAGCTGGCAGCAGCAGCAGCAGCAGGCAGCTGGCAGCAGCAGCTGGTAGCAGCAGCTGGTAGCAGCAGCAGCAGCAGCAGCAGCAGCTGGCAGCAGCAGCAGGCAGCTGGCAGCAGCAGCTGGTAGCAGCAGCTGGCAGCAGCAGCTGGCAGCAGCAGCAGGCAGCTGGCAGCAGCAGCAGCAGCTGGTAACAAGAGCCACCAAGAGATGGCAGCAGCAGGTGGCAACAGATGGCAGCAGTGTTGGTGGTGTCAGAAACAAACAATGTGACAGTGTTATAAGAGAGAGAGGTGAAAGGCACCAAGATGAGCCTAATAATGGACAACAGACTCGACACTCTAGATACTCAAGCTGAAGTTAAGAAACTCCAACAGCTGGTTAAACAGCTGGAACTACAGAATGAAGAGTTGAGATGTGAGAGGCAGCAGTTGATGAAGGAAGGTGGGTCGTCCGTGGGGCCCAAGAACCAGAGCTCACCTCCAGCCACGCCTAAAATATTACACCGGGATGGTAGTCTAGACGCTATGGATACTATAGGCCTAGATGAGGCTAGCCTATCTGATGATGAGACTTGGTGAGTATATATTCTGCTTTTAATGGGGTCTTATGGGGATATTAATGGTTATTTTGTAATATTTTTGAGGTTATGGGTGCCATAGGCCTATATTAGGCTAGCCTATTTGATGATGAGACTTGATGAATAGCTCACTAATGTGACCTTATTAACTTACAAATGGTTTTAATGGGGTCTTATGGGGCCTTTAATGGGGTCTTATGGGGCCATTAATGGTTACTTTGTAATATTTTTTATGTTATGGGTGCCATAGGCCTATATTAGGCTAGCCTATTTGATGATGAGACTTGATGAGTAACTCACTAATCTGACCTTATTAACTTTCAAATTGTTTTAATGGGGTCTTATAGGACCACTAATGGTTGCTTTCTAATATTTTTGATGTTATGGGTGCAATAGGCCTATATAATATAAGCCTCTGATGATGAGACTTGGTAAATAACTCACTAATCTGACCTTATTAACTTTCAAATTGTTTTAATGGGGTCTTATAGGACCACTAATGGTTGCTTTCTAATATTTTTGATGCCATAGGTGCCATAGGCCTATATAAGCCTCTCTTGATATTGAGACTTGGTGAGTAACCCAGTAATGTCAGTTTATTAACTCTCAGGTTTTTAATATGTTAAATATAGTCTTACGGGACCACTAATGGTCACTTTCTAATAATCTAGCAGCCATGGGTACCATAGGCCTAGACGAGACCAACGTCCCTGATGACCAGACATGGTGACCGACCCCATAACCAGTCACATCATTTTCAGCCCATGACTGGGCTCTGAGAGTAGTTAAACTCTTGAAACTCATCAGAGGTGATAAAATAACGACGGTGTCCCGTGGCTTGGTCGCTAAAGCTCTCGCTTCACACGGCGAGGGTCTGGGTTCAATTCCCAGTGAGGGTAGAAACATTGGATGTGTTTCTTTACGCTGGTTGTCCATGTTCACTCATCAGTATAATGGGTACCTGGGTGTTAGTGGACTGGTGTGTGTCGCATCCTGGGTGTTAGTGGACTGGTGTGTGTCGCATCCTGGGTGTTAGTGGACTGGTGTGTGTCGCATCCTGGGTGTTAGTGGACTGGTGTGTGTCGCATCCTGGGTGTTAGTGGACTGGTGTGTGTCGCATCCTGGGTGTTAGTGGACTGGTGTGTGTCGCATCCTGGGTGTTAGTGGACTGGTGTGTGTCGCATCCTGGGTGTTAGTGGACTGGTGTGGGTCGCATCCTGGGTGTTAGTGGACTGGTGTGTGTCGCATCCTGGGTGTTAGTGGACTGGTGTGGGTCGCATCCTGGGTGTTAGTGGACTGGTGTGGGTCGCATCCTGGGTGTAAGTGGACTGGTGTGGGTTGCATTCTGGGTGTTAGTGGACTGGTGTGGGTCACATCCTGGGTGTTAGTGGACTGGTGTGGGTCACATCCTGGGTGTTAGTGGACTGGTGTGGGTCACATCCTGGGTGTTAGTGGACTGGTGTGGGTCACATCCTGGGTGTTAGTGGACTGGTGTGGGTCACATCCTGGGTGTTAGTGGACTGGTGTGGTCACATCCTGGGTGTTAGTGGACTGGTGTGGGTCACATCCTGGGTGTTAGTGGACTGGTGCGGGTCACATCCTGGGTGTTAGTGGACTAGTGTGGGTCACATCCTGGGTGTTAGTGGACTGGTATGGGTCACATCCTGGGTGTTAGTGGACTAGTGTGGGTCACATCCTGGGTGTTAGTGGACTGGTGTGGGTCACATCCTGGGTGTTAGTAGACTAGTGTGGGTCACATCCTGGGTGTTAGTGGACTGGTGTGGGTCACATCCTGGGTGTTAGTGGACTGGTGTGGGTCACATCCTGGGTGTTAGTGGACTGGTGTGGGTCACATCCTGGGTGTTAGTGGACTGGTGTGGGTCACATCCTAGGTGTAAGTGGACTGGTGTGGGTCACATCCTGGGACAAAACTGACATAATTTGCGGGAAATGCTCAGCATAACAAGGGACTTTCTATATAGTAGTATGTCACTGATGTCAGCTATGGTCTGTATACCTTGTACATGTACTGGTATACCTTGTACATGTACTGGTATACCTTGTACATGTACTTGTATACCTTGTACATGTACTTGTATACCTTGTACATGTACTTGTATACCTTGTACATGTACTTGTATACCTTGTACATGTACTTGTATACCTTGTACATGTACTTGTATACCTTGTACATGTACTTGTATACCTTGTACATGTACTTGTATACCTTGTACATGTACTTGTATACCTTGTACATGTACTTGTATACCTTGTACATGTACTTGTATACCTTGTACATGTACTTGTATACCTTGTACATGTACTCGTATACCTTGTACATGTACTGGTATACCTTGTACATGTACTGGTATACCTTGTACATGTACTTGTAGAAATAAAGATATTAATATTATTAAATAACCTAAATTAACTACCTAATCAATCTAACCTAACTAGCAGTCCATCTAACTTAAACATAGATAAACAGTCTTATATCTAAATATGCTACCTCGCTATGTCTAGCTATATCTAATGTAATGAACTACTGTACGTACTTCCACGTTTACATTTGGTCGCAGTTGTAATGCATTATTTACGCAGACCTAAATTCGTTCACAAAAATATTAGTAGAGGTTGTATGTCCAAAGAATTTTAGCTAACTGGAGATCAAACTTTATTACATTTCATTTGCCTTGTGATGTGACCCTTGTGGGTTTAGTGCTTCCCTATGGGTATTATAATCCCCAGTGTTGCTTGAATTTGAAGGTCCACTGACAATGTGTACTGCAACAATCTCTACCTATCGTGCCTGCAAAGAAAATACTGTATACAAGTTCTCCTGGACTTAGGATAATTCGACTTAATGATATTTCAACTTTACGATGGTGCAAAAGCAGTTACTTTGGTTTTGAAACTCGAGATAATTACCCAGCATGAAGGCAACAAGTTTATAACTTGTATTTATTTTTCAATATTGGTAGTGAGTAATTATTTGTTTTTTTATTTATTCAGTGGCAGTAGTTATTTACTTATTTAGCATGTCATATTCATATTTGACTCATGATATTTTTGACTTACAATGGGTTTGTTGGAGCATAACCCCATTGTTAGTCAAAGAGCACCTGTTGTCGTCCATGAATCTTAGGTGGACTTCGACTAAACAAAACGCTTTCACTTCCATGAGATACAGTATACAGCCTCTCCTCACTTAGCGACATACGCGTTTACCAATGCCTTGGACTTACGACGGGCTCTCTGACCAGTATACAGTGGTCCCTCAATAATTGTCCAGCCTGAAAGTCGTCCATTTCGGAAATAGTCCTGTTTTTTCGTCTAAATATTGGCTCGCAAATGGTCCGGTAACTCGCTAATAGTCCTTCGTCCCGGACGCGTACTCACGCTCTGAGCCGCCTGGGCCTTTCCTTCCCAGCCAGTGTGCCATTGTTTACCAGTGAGCGATGGTCCCCTCACGTGCTCCAGCGAAATATTTCATAATATTCCATTTATTTTAGTGCTTGCAAGTTATTTAAGTGCTAAATAAGCTACCATGGCTCCAAAGAAAGCTCCTAGTGCCAAGCCTTTGGTAAAGAAGGTGAGAAATACAATTGAATTTAAGAAAAACATCATTGAACAATATGATAGTGGCGTACGTGTGGGCAAACTGGCCAGGATGTATAACAAATCCCGTACAACCATATCTTCCATCATAGCCAAGAAAAAGGAAATCAAGGACGCTGTTGTTGCAAAGGGGGTAAATATGCTGACAAAAATGAGATCACCAGTACTCGAAGATGTTGAGAAGTTATTATTGGTGTGGATAAATGAGAAACAATTAGCAGGAGATAGTCTTATGACGTTGCTTATTTGTGAAAAGGCTAGGCAGTTGCATGCTGATTTGGTAAAGAAATTGCCTGCAACTAGTGGTGATGTGAGTGAATTTAAGGCCAGCAAAGGCTGGTTTGAGAGATTTAAGAAGCATACTGGCATACACAGTGTGGTAAGGCATGGTAAGGCTGCCAGTTCGGACCACAAGGCTGCTGAAAAATATGTGCATGAATTCAAGGAGTATATAAACAGTGAAGGATTGAAACCTGAACAAGTGTTCAATTGTGATGAAACAGGCCTCTTTTGGAAGAAAATGCCAAAGAGGACCTACATTACTCAGGAAGAAAAGGCGCTGCCAGGACACAAGCCTATGAAAGAGAGGCTGACGCTAATGTTCTGTGCTAATGCTAGTGGGGATTTCAAAGTGAAGCCGTTACTAGTGTACCATTCTGAAAATCCCAGAGTGTTCAAGAAAAACAATGTTATGAAGAGTAAATTGTGTGTGTTTTGGAAATCTAATAGTAAGGCATGGGTCACGAGGGAAATTTTCGTCGAGTGGTTCAGTGAAGTGTTTGGCCCTAGTGTGAAGAATTACCTCCTGGAAAAGAAATTGGATCTCAAGTGCCTCCTAGTAATGGACAATGCACCTGCTCATCCTCCAAACTTGGATGACCTAATTCTGAAGGAGTTTGGGTTCACAGTAAAGTTCTTGCCCCCGAATACCACTCCTCTCCTCCAGCCCAAGGACCAGCAAGTCATTTCAAACTTTAAAAAACTCTACACCAAAGCAATGTTTGAAAGGTGCTTTAATGTGACCTCAGACACTCGCTTGACCCTACGAGATTTTTGGAAAGAACACTTCAGTATTCTCCATTGCGTATGCCTTATAGATAAGGCTTGGGAGGGAGTGACTACCAGGACTTTGAACTCTGCTTGGAGAAACTTGTGGCCAGATTGTGTCCACAAGAGGGATTTTGAAGGGTTTGAGGCAGCCCCTGATGAGCCTATGTCAGTTGTAAACTCTATTGTCGCATTGGGGAGTTCCGTGAGGTTGGATGCGAATTTGGAGGATGTGGAAGAGTTGGTAGAGGACCACAACGAAGAGCTAACCACTGAGGAGCTGCAAGAGCTTCAGCAGGAAGAGCAACAGATCGAAGCTCAGAATCTTGCTG